TGGTCTGGTGGGAGGTGTCCCTGCCCATGGCAGGGGGCTTGGAACTGGATGAGCTTTAAGGTCCCTTCCAACCAAATCATTCTATGATTCTATGAAATTTGTTTCAATAAATCAATGCAAGACCTATCTGCCAGAGAATCTGTGATAAATATTTTTTTAAAAAAATCACATATTTTAGTGGTACTTTCCAAGTTACTGAAATTGTTAAGGAATATCTCTGTTGCTGTATCAAACTCTGGAGTAGTTACTTTGACTAGATGAAGTTTGCCTTGGGAAAGGTCTTCTGGGGTACCCATGCTGGAGAACTACAATGAACAGTTCAGTTTAAGAACATATTGGCAAAAAGATGTATAACGAACTACTGGTCAAATAAACCAGTTTTACAAATACACCTTCAAACTATGTAAGTGCCACTAGAGAAATGTCATTACAAATAGTCACAGCCCTGACATTGTTATGAGCAAACTACAGAAGGTGTACCTGCCCTAAGAAAGCACCTCTGACTCAGCCAGTAATTAATGGATCACAAAGTTTAGAAATTAACTTGAGGGAAAAAAAGAAAAAAACCCAACAGATCATTCAGGCCCATCCTCCCCAAGTGGAAAATACCAAGGGAATGTTAAAAAAAAAAAAAAAGAAATCTCATCTAAATAGCAATATGACAATTAACTGACAAAAGGCCCCATAAAATTTTTTTTTAATGCATTAGAGAAAAGTCTGGAATTTTAGAATTTACTCTGCTATTACTAGAAGAGTAGAAAATCTAAGTGTTTGCGATCACATTGTTAACACTTGTTTTTTTCCCCCACTCTACACCAATAGAAGTCACTTCATAACATTTACTAACGTTCACTACCAGCTGTAACAGTCCAATTTCAAAATCCCCATATTCTTTGTTGAAATCACTGGTTCCTTTAATTATACAACAGTTAATCCTTAGCTATTCAACAGGCTCCTAGAGTCCCAACAGTCACAGAATGATCCTCAAAGAAATTTTGAAGTAATTTCTTCATATTTCTTAATTCATCACCCATGTTCAGTCTTTCTTATGTCACCAAGCAGGCCCTACCTAGCATGACAGAGAACTGCACAGGCAGGATCAGGCTCTCCAAGGCCATACAGCACTGGGTCACACGCTTTCCTTTTAGGTATAGAAAATCTAAAACTTCATAACTGACCTGGTCTATTATTGACTCCAGTCTCACCCTCAATACAACAAACTAGGGAATTCAATTACTAATGCAAGACAGGTGTTTGACTTTGAACCTAGGAATGGAGAAGATAAGTAATCCACATTTTAAATTAGTCAACTGTTGTTCGGTGGGATGGGGAAATGGTTCCAGATGTTGCAATGCCCTCATAACAAGGAGCTGAAATGTCTAAGAATGCAGAAAACTTGAGTATAAGCTCTACTTCAGAACAGCAGAACAAATCATGGAACAAGATGAAAATATATCTATAGCTTTACTGAATTCTCTTTTGAATACAAAATGTCTGTTGTATTAGATAAGGCAATAATGTCCATGTTTTCTTTGTATAAATATGTGCAAAATGTAGTTTTTAAAAATAAATTAGTGTTCTGTTCTCTTCTTGTTGTCCTTCTTTATCTTTTTGCTCTTTCCTGCTTGTTTAGATGATTCTTCCTGAAATGAAAAACAGGCATTTCAAGATTTAAACAATACTCTTGTATACCATGAGTATTCTCTCAAGGTCACCCATGCGAATTATTTCTAATACAAGCACTGTTCATATTTCACTGGGATTTACAGAAGTTTTCAGTTGTATAATATTTATCCATTCAGTTTCATTAATTTGTCTGCTTATCTTGCTATTTAGAAACTTCTGCCTTCAGCAATGATAAAATTATAGACACAGCTATGCCAACAGAAGCATATAATGTAAAAATAATCTAAGCCATTTCCACTCGAGGCAGAGGTCACCAGTAGAGGAATACTTCTACACTATACTGCAGAATTCCTTCTAGTGTGGATGTGGCTGTATCAAAAGATATACTGTACACCAGTATATTAAAACCACTTCCCTAAGTGAAACAAACCTACACTGGGAAAAACAAAATTTTGCCAGTCTTGCTGGATCAACGTTGCAATGGACAGTTTACTCTGACTGCCAGTTCTGAAAACCACCACTCTTCTTCAGTAGGCATTCATTGCAAGCACTCCCCAAAATGGTGAAGGAAGCTGCCACTACATCTGGCAGAACCCGGAACATTTTAATGTACTCCTTTCTACCTCTTCCACATGGGCGGGAAACGGACCCTAACAGGATGTTTGAACTCTGCTATTCTGAAGAGAGTTAGCTAAAAGAATACTTTTTCCAAGACCCACATCTATGATACTAGAACAATAAGTACGGTAAGTCCCATCTGTTATTTTTCTGATGGACACTGGTAACAAAACATGTTAATACACAATAAAGAAATACAGTTTCATTTAAGTTTGTTAAAAATAGAAAAAAGAGAAGTAATTTTTGGTACTAAACCTTCTCGTGAAGGTAGATGCTTAAAAATCTTGTTAGTTTCCTTTTATTTTATGAGCAACGCTTTCAAATAAGAGAACACTGATAAACTGCCAAGAAGGCAAATCAGTAAGTATATATAAGCACCTCTTAAATGCAAAGAGCAAATAACTGAAAAGCACCGGGGGAGGAATGGGAAGGAATGCTCAGCTTTCAACCACAGCAAGCTTAGAAACTTTCATATAAAAAGGAAAACTGACAGTTGCATATTTTGTCAAGTATCCATTAGTAATTATTTAGTACTGCCTTAAACGTTCCATTGTGAGCAATTACATACTATAATGTACATAGACATATCTAATATGCTGTTCTGAGGATGAATAAAAGAAATGTTGAAAACCAAGAATATTAGATGATCAAACGACCAAAGTCCCTTAAGAAGTAAAATGCCATTTAAAGACACTTGGAACTTTGTCTCCCAGGTTATTTAAGCTCCGTTGAAACATTTTCCTGTAATCTTTTCGGTAACAGTTAATGTTACTTTACTTGAATTCTTCTAGTCTAGATTTTTTTTAACGGTGTCCATTATCTGTAATTCTGAAAACTTCTTTGGCTCTAACAAAGCTTTCAATTTTTAAAATCCCTACTAGTTACAGTGATTCCCAAGCTCAGTCTGCCTACACAATAGAACCGGTGGCACAGGCAAGCACAAGAAGCAGCAGCTTCCAGTTTTCTGAACAGAAAGAGGCATGCCCCCTTCCCATCCTTCCCGAGACCTCAAATTTGTGTTCTGGATCAATGTCCTCAGCTGCTGCCACCCTCCTGTTGCACACCTCATACTTACAAACCAGGTCACCAACTTCTTTGGAAGTTCTTCGGGAGCCTTTGCACCGATCCTATGCATACTATCAGCGCATCAAAGCAGCCAGAGGATGACACAGGTAATACTACTTTTCTTCTAACAGTGACAATTTACACAAGTTCACATACAAATGCCTTAATTCTAAGTGGCAGAAACTTACCGCTGAAGGTACATAGTTGTGTTCCACAAGTACATTCCTGGCACAATTGTTTATATGTTTAAAACGATCTGGTCCTAAAAGAATACCTCCATACCAGCGGGATACCACAACTAACACATTGTGGACATTCAAAATCTGTTTTAAAAATAAAGAAAAAAGAAAGAAAGAAGAGTTGTTATTCTTAAATTGAACTAGTTTTACTATTGACACCAATTTTAAACATAGAAAAAGTCTACTAACTTGCATTTTTTAGAAGAACTTACAGTCAGGTCTGTGTCACACATATGTTATCAGAGGGTAACAAATTATGACAAATCAGTAGTTGTGGTAAGTTTCCCTCTCCAAGTTCCTACACAAAAGTAAATTCAAAGTAAAATGAGTCAATACATCCCTCAGAAAGGGCACAGAGCTATCCCATCTGCACTACAGTTGCCCATCCATGTGTCAAAAGCTTCAGGCACTACTTAAAGGGAAAATTACCGAGTTATATCTATTATTCCTTTATATGATGAATTATTATTTCCAGAGAACCTCTGTCACTAAGCAGATTGTCTATCCACATTTTTGGAAGTGTTGGTGGATGAGACTAATAACAGCCAGGGGACAGGCATTACACATATGGATACCTAAAATGCCATAAGCTAATACTGTTGCCATGTGCAGTACCTGCATAATATATTAAAACCTCTGCACTATTCAGGTTTGAGTCTTAATCCCTTACAACCAAGCAGTCAGTTGTTACCCTTTAAAAAGGTATATATAAGTTCACACATGAAATAATTGTAATAGCAAGTAGGATTGAAAGGAACTAAATGACCTTTATATAGCTTTTTTAAGATTGAGTGACAAAATCAGAGTTAAACAGAAGTAATGATTTCTTTTACTGCAATTAAAAGCAAGAAACATGGAAGGCCTTCAACAGCTTTACTGTTCACAAAATCTAAATGTGATTTGACTAGACCTGAAACTACCAGTTCTTCCGCTTTACAGCAATTCTTTCCTCCAGATCTCTCGATCATCAGCAAACACGAGTAACACAGGGAATTCCAACTGACTAAGTGTCAGAGAGAAAGATATATCTTGTCAAAATATAAGATACGCATTACTGCATGGAAACACATAGTGACAATCACCAGTTAGCATTTTTGCTCAAATTAGTCTCGCATGATTAGTGACCACAATCCTGACTTCGTCCCTCAAACGAAGGCAGCTGAAGTCTTCACTTATAAACAGCTTTCTCTCAAGTCCTGTGCAGTACTACACTAAGTGTGTAGTTGGAGCCAGACAGAGCTAACACAGCTTTATTTTCATAATGCTGAGCAAAAACACTGCGGTTTGCAAGATATCAGGGTGGTTTGGTGGAGGTGAGAAAAATCCCATCAGAGCTAGCAATCAATAAAGCATGTTAACAACCATTCATCGTCTCCATTAAGAAGAAAAACATACATATTTGACTAATTTGAGCAATACTATTAGGAGATTCTATCATTGTTTGTGAAAACAGAAAGATTTTTAGAAGGAAGGATTGGGGCAGGTTTTGTGACAAGTATTTTCTACTCTACATTTACACATTGACCATAAAGTCTATGTATAGCAACTGTTCGCAGTAAACAGGATGTGTTGGGAAATTTTTTAACTCTAAGTTCGAAAGAATTAATCTAAAATGCAGTGTAATGTAACCAGAAAGTGCTACCTTGACTGAAGTGCTAGGTTTATCTGCAAACAAGATAAGATTTCTACTGCAAAAGAAGAACCATAAGTAAAGCAACAATAAGTGTATTCAACCACCTCATTTTCATGCCCATATTTTATGTCATAAGTGCTTATAACAGAAAAATGACAAGACCTATGAACATCTAGAAATCTGCCCATAAACTATTTTAATCTTTTCCTACAAGTGAAAATTGCACTTTTCTGATCTACAGCAGTACTCTTCCAAAACAAAAATATTCCCAGTAACTAGGATTACAGATAGAGAGAGATGATGCATATGATTTAGCCACATCCACATTTGAAAGGGGAAACTTCATGTCACTTTTTAAACTGGACTTTTATGGAATGTTAAGTGCCTAGAAACTGTAAGTCTGACGGCTTTCAAAAGTACACAATAACATCCTGAGAAAAAGCTGATAAGCTCAGAACAAATTGAGGTATAGTAACTGCAAAGTTGTTTCTATACATTATTTTCGTTACAATATTTTCACACCACATATACTTGCATATATTACATAACATAATTTTCCTTCCCAAGTCAGGTTTGAGTGACTTCGGAAGTTTCAAAAAGTTTTAAATGAAAAGTGTCAAAATATTTCCATCAATTACATTTTTTTCAGAAAAAAAATAAAGCTTTGAAATATTAAAAAAAAAAAGGCAGCTTTAAAATAGTCTCCAGGAATAAAAGTACAACACATTAAGCAACAGAATATGCAAGTAAGCAAAGGACAGGAAAAGAAAACCCCTGTTGTGAAGGGGACATCAATCTAAAAATCAAAATTAAAACCAATAATTAGTGCACTGATATAGCTGAGTGACTTGAGGCACTGCATAAGATGTACCCAGCTGTTCCCTGTAGTTATGATTATTCTATTTATGGTCTTACCAGGGCTTGTATCATGCCACTGAATCAAAATTTATCAATCTCAATTCACATTTAGTAGCAACTTTGCCAAGGGAATATTATTTCAACACTTAAAAACTAAAATATACGTCAGTATGAGGGCTAAGGACCACAACTGGAAATGGTACAAACAAATTAAATGATCAAAACAACTGAACTCCTTCACTCCCACTACCTTTTGCATTTGAAGCTCTACTCTTCAAGTTCAAATATAAGTGTCTTTTTATTACAAATATTTGAGGAAACCAAATGAAAGGCTGTGCACAGGTTGGCTGTACATTCTGTCAAACAGCTTCTTCCAGTCTTCATTTTCTATATGCTTTACACCACAAAGTAAGAACAGGAATCAAAACTTATCTTTTAAACCATTCAAACTATTACTACCACCTATGACACACTACCTGTTTCTATGATCCAAGACTTGGAAATCCCAATTTACTACATACATGCAACAGTGTGTTTTTTCTTTCACCTTTGAGAAATCAATCATCTATTTGGCTACGTGCAGAGCAAGAATTAAAATAATGTCCTACAAGTTTATTTACATAGCAATGGTTTTTAAAATCTGTTCAAGACTTCCAGAAGTCAAAGATTAATTTCTATAACCTGCATAAGGTGAAGAAGACGTCCACCTGCTGCTGTCTCCCCATCGTCTTCACAATCCTGTAAGAATGTCTGCTTATCTTCACAGTATATTCTTAAAAAGAAAAAAAAAAGAAAAAAAAAGAGATAGATTCAAAAAATGTCAATCAACAAACATTTTGACATGATTAATGAAGTCTCAGAGACCTTTCATACACATGTGTAGCAATTCTACTTCTCTACTAAGGACATTTACATGAAAACAGGATGAGGTTTAGGGTAAACCACAAATATGTATGTGTATAGTAGAACACGTTTTGAGAAGTTTTTACATAGACTTTAGTTGTTTCAGGTTAACTCCAGAGTCATTACCAATGTAAAGTCCCTCATCAGAAACATTCTTAGGTTTTAGCCTAGTAATTACACATAGCTGAAACCAACTCTATCAGATACAGGTTCAAATTATGGTACACACCCACAAGTTGGAAGAACTCGGACAAACACATTATGAATAATTAGTTAGGTCTGTATTTCAGCAGCAGTGTGAAATTATTACTGAAATTCACCTTCAGTTTCTCTATGCCATCTCCTTCCTCAGGGGGCACTCCAGGAAACTTTGGGGTGTATTATTGTTTCATATAAAGGACAGCTGCCCGGGTCTAATTTTCCAGAAGTAATGCTCAGAGGTCTACTGTTTGTTACCAACTGATTTCCTAACTTCTGAACTTAGTCAATACACACGTGACACAATGACAAAGAGGCTTCTGATGCTAGATGACAAATAGGAAGCAGCAAGTATGTTTCTGTTGCTTTTTTGAAGTGTATTTAGTTAGTATGAGTGAAAGAAGCCAGATCATCATGAGCAACAACAGAAATCCCCTCTTTCCAGAAACCTTTTACTTAGGTAGACTTTTTGGCAAAGTAAGATTTCATTTGCTCTCATTTCATATTTCGTGAGGATCATGCCAGGATGTGCATGAATGGATCCGTGTCTATACATGCTTTTTCAGATGACTGGTTCCTCCAGTAATGAAAGGGGTTCCTTTTACTGTCACTTAGACTCCTCAGAAAATCTACATCACTATCTGGACTGAGACCAATTCATTTCACATAAGCTACATTCACAAAAGCTGCCAGAGACAGACCACTGTCAAATTCATTTTTACCTGCTTCTCATTTTCCCTGAAATTTCTCATATTTCAGCTGAAAATTCATATGCCAGTTGTCTGCATGAGGCTTTCTGTTTCAATTCTTACTTCAACTAAAAATTTTCAGCTATTTCTAAATATACAGTTGAGGTTAAAAAAAAGTTACTTCACCCAAGTAAAATCACATTTAGTTCAGGATGATGTAGCATTTCTTTGCTCGCACATACTATACAAAGTATAACAGCATATGTTCAAATCCACTTTCAGTCTTTTTTTATTCCTAACGCTGCTTTACTATCCTAACATGTTTCCTACCACACATTCTACTTTCTTGACCTCAGATTCAGAATAAAGCCTAAAACCTTTACCATACAAATAAGAAACCTACTCCCATAAAGATTTAATAGCAAGGAATTTCTTCGATAGATTTTAATTTTCTCATGTCCTCCACTCATTTGTCAAAGAACCCTGAAAAAAAAGAATAAAATCAATAAATCAGTATTCATCTCTCACCTGTATGCATATATGTTGTGGGTAGCACTTGCAATTTTCTTATTCTCATATAATTTTTCAAGAACTCTCTTTACCTTTAAAAAAGCAGAAATAAGCTTCCTTTTATAATGAGGATTTCATACACACCATCTCAAAATCACCGCTAAACAAACATCTCCTTAATACTATAATGAAACAGTACAGTTTGACATGAAATGAATTAAATATTCAGTGTGATAACCCAAGAAGCAGCTTCTCAGTACCCTCATGCTAGTTTCAAACAATTTTTCCAGGATACTGAAAACAGCTGTTCCTTGAATTTGTACATTGTATACCTTCATGTTATTGCTGAAGATGAAGTGTCAAATCACCTTACTAAACAAGACAGAGAGCAAGATCTAGAAAACATTTTTAATTGGTATTAAGTATCAATTACAACTGCTCACTTTTTTCAACTATAACATTAGACTGGAATATAACACAACTTGACATACATTTTCCCATTACACACTGTTTTTACCTATTTCACAAAGACATGTGATGCTCAGAAAGCTCTACTACATTTTGAGTTTCTCCTTTTTCCTAAAATATACTTTTTTTCAGAGTTTCCATTTCACAGAAACAATAATAATAATGAAAAAAAGATATTCTATTATGGGTCTGAAAGTCTCGGTATTTCCCAGAAAACAGATATTCCCACCACATCCATCTCTCTGCTATTAAGAAGTACCAAATCCAAACCATTTATCAAGATCAGTTCATCTTCTGTCTCTAATTAAACAAGCTAGTAATTGTTCAATTTTTTTCCAATTTGGTCTAGCAAAGAGGAGAACTTTGATCAAGTCATTGTTTTAATACATAATACAAAATTAATATTACTTTGAGCAAAACATCACTGAAGTTGAGAAAGCTTGGGAAAACATGCTTGGCAAGTAAAGTGCCTTCCACTCCAAAGAAAAACATCTGAGGAGTAATCAATATATATATATTTGATATCTATCTTAGCTACACTGTGTTATTTCCAATTCTTCCGGAAGAAATTCAACTTACAAAAATCACCTCAAATATAAGATACCTCAATGAAAAAACTCCTATTATTAACGGAGAACATTGATTCAGACACCCGTTTTCTCCTTTTTTTTTTTTCCCCCTAAACGGGAATGTTGAAGAAAGACAACCTATATTACTTAATACACTTTCACAAATACATTTCAATACATGGACTTAGGGTACAAAGCACATGAAGCGATCATCACCTTTGACGTTACTTATTTGTCAGCTACTAGGCTCCTAAAAACATACCTTGCAGACTCATTATGTGTCTGTATTAGCAATGAACCTCCAAGACAGATATATTGCAGCTAAGCAATAGTTTATCCTTTTTCCTATAGTACCTCCTGAGTCTTTTTTTTCCTCCTCTTCCTCTCTCTATTATTCCTGCCTCAGGAGAACCAAGAGATGTAATTCTCTACATGTCAATGAGGCACCTGCTCATAAAAGACACAAGATGCTTAAACAACAGATCAGTTCTTAGTCTCACCTTACTAAATCAGTGTCAAGTCAAAGAACCACATACATTTTAAATGTCAGAATAAGTGAAATTCAGACAAGGAAAAGCAATGGTACCAAATATAGCCTGCTAACTGAAATATGCCTATCACTTTCTTTGCCCCATAAGGTTTATGGTAACATACTCAGTTATGTTAAGTAACTATGGTATTACTCTGGCTATCATTATTGAAAACTACACCAGAAGTTAAGTTCCACTATTAAAAACATTCAATAAAGGAATTTACACAGCAATCTGTGTACTGTCTTAAAATATCAGTGAGTATCATTGCAGTATATAGATTATGCAGATAAAGTACTATGGGCACATACTCATCTCTTCAGCTGATAAAGAACACAGATTTCCCTA